TATAATACTATTGGAAGCAGTTCACAAAATGCTCACCCAACTCATTCCTGGGATGAGGGCTTTTTCTATAAAGATAAGTTAATTAGTTTGGGCCAATATGTATTAGAGCTTAGAAGAATGATAAATGATCTTAGACCATCAAACAGTAAGCTGTTGGAGTAGAAGTAGGTCCATTGAGTCCACTCCATTATCCAGTGAGATCATGGCTGATCTGATAATCAATTCCACTTTCCTGTCTTTTCCCCCATACCCCTTGATTTCCTTACTGATTAAAAATCTGTCTGTCTGTTATGAATTTGAATAATGATCTAGCTTTGACTGCTCTCTACAATAAAGAATTCCACAGATTCACTACCATCTCAGAGAAGTCTCTTATTAAGGCATACAAGATCCTGACAGATTTGATTGGTTAGATTTTGGGCGGTTCTTTCTTCTTATCAGGGAAAATAGAACTAGGGTAAAGGTGTCCTTTTTTGAGACTGTGTTGAGAACATTTATTTTTCCCTCAGAAGGTAGACAATCTGGAATTCTTTTTCCCAGAAAGAAATGGAAGTTAGATTATTGAATTTATTCAAGGCTGAATTAGATATTTCATAGACCGGGAAGGTTTTTGCAGAGGGAGAGAAGCTGAACCCATGACCAAACTATGATTCCATCAAATGCTGGAGAAGTATCAAAGCTAAATGCTACTTTTGTATGTTACCATGACTAAATTGAATAGGGAACTCAGGAGGGACTTCCTTACTCAGAATGACTAGGATGATATTCACTTGAATAAAAGATAAATGAAGTGGCAAACGTAGATGCATTCAAGGTTAAGAGAGATTAGCACCCGAGGGACAATCTTATACAAGGATATGTTGATAGGGTTTGATGATGCTCATGTAGTGTACAAACACCGGCATAGACAACAAAAACAGAAATTGCTGGAAAAACTCAGCAAGTCTGACAGCATTGGAGGAGAGAAAGTAGAGTTAACCTTCCAGGTCCAGTGACTCTTCAGAACTGAATGGACCTGTTGGTCTAAATTGCCTGTTTCTACACTGCAAGTATTAAGTTCTAACTGGAACACCAAGGAACTTTACACCTTGATAGGAAGGAAATCATCACATAATTCCCGATATCTATTATTAATTCATGGCACAATTCAGTTCCTGTCACAAATGCTTAGCACTACAATTCGTGTATTTTGAACTAAACCAAAGAACTGTTTGTCCCACTTTATATCAGATCATGAAAAATGAGGGAGCTAAATTTATGAAATTGAATGCTGAATTCAGCAATATTAATAAGAATACTCCACAACATCAGAAACAATTCCAATGGCACATTTATTAATTTGAATGCTGTAAAGGTGATCTTAGTGACTGCCTGAAACAGACATTGATGATACCAGTAGAGAGAAATAAGAAATGCTAGAGTAAATGCTAGGGCAAAAGGTTGATTTAGGATATGGGTTCCACATATAAGTTCTCTGTACAGTGTTTAAGAAATAAATTGTAGGTAGAAATGATGGTAGACACTGGAACTCTCATTTTGCAAATGATAGTTGATTCTAGATCAATTATTAAAGTTGAAACTGAAATTAGTAGATTCTTGTTAAACAAAGGTATTAAGGGGTGTGGAACAAAGGTGAGTTAATGGCGATAGATCGCAGATAAGCCTGTAATACTGTAACCTTCAGAACGTTGTCTGTTCAAGGATTGAACAGCAAATCCCCTTTCTGGAATAAACATTTTCTTGAGATAACGTGACAGAAATTAAAAGCATATGCCAATTAACCATACCCAGGAAAAGAAGGAGTTGTAGCTATATAACATGTTTTAATGACTGCTTGATAACTGGCTGCCTTATGCCACAAGTTGCCTAGAATTTAAGGAGGTAATGGCAATGTAGGCTGTGTTTTGAACCAACAGCTAACACCAAATGTAAAAAGGAACAGAGAAGTTACAGACTTGATGACTTCAGAAATCTAATCAATGTTATGGATGAACTGATCTAAAGGATCATTAATAATCTCACATCACAGACTTCACGACAAAAAATCCTATAAGAATTCAACTTTGAGATTCTGCAGCAGCAGAACACTGGAGAAGCGCACCGCACAAGGATCAAACACTGGACATATCCAGAGACAGACTGTTGTTTGGAATCATAGCTAAATTTCACCATTAATAGGGTAATAGCTAGGTTTGGCTGTGAGGCTCAGTTTGCATACTTGAGAGGACTTATTTTGATTGATACATGCAATAAAGTTTAAGTAATTATTTCAGTATTTGATTGAGAGACTTCTTACTAAGTAGCCAAATTAAAGGTAGCTTGTGATAATTTGCAGACAATAGGCCATGATCTCATTTAATAGTGGGAGAGGATGTAAAGGCAAGTGGCCTACTACTATTCCTATATCAAGCTTCTTGAATATGCTGATAAGTGGCCGACTGCTTGTTTTAGGATTTACACCTGAAATGAAATTATCCTGATACCAAGTGTACATATAAAACAGTGTTCCTGAAGTAAACTGCCATGAAAAATGGTACTTTTTTTTAATAGTCAATTTTAATTTCGAACTCTAGACAGGATTACATATGTGAGCTGCACTGTTGCTTGGTGCTTCTGAAGCGTTTACCACCACAGACTCGGGTGATTTTGTTTTCTTCCACTCCTATTTGCTTCCATGGCCAACCCTGGCAATTCACTGGTACTACCCTAACCAGCCAGCAGAACTATTTCCGGTAGTGATTTCTTCTAAGGCCTTCATATTCATTATTTCTGCCTATTTTGAAGAACGTGCTGATATAGGCTTTTGCCAAGGCAATTTCAATGAATGATATTCAGGCCAAATGAAACTAAGATTGTTTTATATATAAACAGGCAGTGCAGAAAAACTACTTGACATACCAATTTTAAATGGATGGTAGAAAACGATTGAAAGATTTTTTTTAAAAATGTTGAAGCTTTCATATCAATTTTCTTATTTTGCTCTAATCTTTTATGAATTAATTTGTTTAAACTATATAGCTAAAATATAACAAAATTAATGCTCCAATATTCAGTATGATTTTCCTGGGTTTCATGTAAAGAATATTTGTGATGTGAAAAAGCAGCAGAAACGCTATAATCAATATCACTGTGAAACTGACTGCGTAGAAAGTTAGTCTAAGGGTTTTGCAAAATCGGAAGATCCTTAAAAATGGCAGCTATGAGTTGTCACTCTTAATACCAACAACCAGGTCAGCATAGCATCTAACTGACTGACGACATCAAGTGAAGTATCTATTGGAGAGTTATTAATAAACTTATGTTGTCTTTTTAAAAAAATATCCAATTACTGATGTTCGTACTTCCACATGACACTAAATGTAAGAAGATGTGCTGGGGAGATCAGGAGGCATGAGAGAGTTGCCATATCTTGCATGATGCTAGTGACTATCTATGTAGACTCCAGGAAACTTATTAAACTGTAATCATGAGGAATTGGCTCTGCAAGATTTTGAAATTTCGGATCAATTTCATTTTGGTGTTAAAACAAACTATTTTTAGGCATAAATAGCAGGAAATATATTAGCACAATTCTTGATTTGCCTATAATCACTGTATCTAGCGTAAGGGTAATCTACGTATCAGCAATCAAGTTTAGTAACAAGTTGTTGATACACCAATCTTCCACTTCTATTTTAATGACTATCATCTGGAGTATGACAGTACTACTTTGGCTCAGGTTATGTTTCTGAAAGAACTGGGACTCGACTAATATTATGTCAGGCTAACAAAATGAAACTTCCAGGTCGGTAAGTTGACATGTTAGTATTTACAAGTAGTAATGAGAGGGAAGAATTTTTCTGTAATTGGTTGCCATGACTTATTGGCGCTCAACTTCATGACCATTTCAGCAGTATGTTAATGATAAATACTACACCACTGTTCCTAACTGATGACCTTGACATCATTTAAGATAATAAGTATATGATATTGGTTTCTATGTCTTAGTGAGAAGGAATTTAGACCTGGATAGACAGTAGCCCATTGTTTTGGTGAAGTCTTTGTAGGTTCTTCACTTTTTCCAAGGCTCAGTCAAAGATTTCAGAGGCCTCCAAAAAAAGTGGTCAATGGATAACAGCGCTTGATCCCTCCTCCAGTTCAGGTCTGATTGTACATAATATGTGCAATGATGTCATGGAAGTAATGAACACTTGACAGACTAGATTGAAAGAAATATGCCCAGAGAACGTGCTAAAAATTTTGCTACTGTGCCAGCTCTGAATATATCTTTCTTGGCTGTTCCTATGTTACATGGGCTCAGCACAATTACAGTTAATCACCCTTCATATCATTCACATAGAATCCCTACAGTGTGGAAACAAGCCCTTTGGCCCAACAAGTCCACACAGATCCTTGGGGCATCCCACCCAGATCCATCCCTTTATAACCCACCTAAACTACACATCCCTGAACACTACGGGCAATTTAGCATGACCAATCCACCTAACCTGCACATCTTTGGACTGTGGGAGGAAACCCACGCAGACACAGGGAGAATGTGCAAACTCCACACAGACAGTCGCCCAAGGATGGAATTGAACCCAGGCTCCTGGTGCTGTGAGGCGGCAGTGCTAACCACTGAGCCACCATGCCTATCAACAATAATATTTTGGATTTTGCAAGTGTCCTTCCTTCCACTAAACCTCTGCATTTATCCAGGCTGGGAATTGACACCAAAACAGCAGGGGACTTCTGGCTCAGAGGTAGAAGTGCCGTCAACTGATCCACTTGGACTCCCCTGTAGCTTGTGTGTTTTGGTGTTTTTATACGTAACACTTCTTGAAAATGTAAGTGTGCAATGTTTTAAATCAATTTGCAGTTATAATGCATTCAAAGTGTAACATGATCCTAATGGAAGAGCTTGGAATAGTGCAGCAAAACCTACTTAAATGTATTAAACCAGTGGAGAGCTTTAAAGTGTGCAATAATCTTATTGAATGTCTTGTTTTATTACTCTATAGAACAGCTGAACACAGTGAGAAGTTAGAAGTAGATCCAAGCAAGCACCAGTGTGTTGATTTGACCAACATAGTGACAGAGCGGAAATCAATTGCTCAAGGTCCCATCAAATTCCATCAACCGAAGTTACCAGAAAGAAACAGTGATGACTTCCAGGACAATCCTGAAGTTCCACCATTAGTTGATTAAAAATAGTTTTGAATCAGGATAATATGATATATTGTAATTCCTCTACACAATTCATCTGTAAACTTAACTAAATTATAAAAACTGTATTATGTTTAAGCAGTAATGACCATAAATGTATCCATTACTAGAACTGTCTGGCTGTGTTGTTGTTTACTATCAATTGACAAATGCCATCCTGTATTGCTTAGAGAGAAACAAATTGAGTTTATTTTCTGGATATATAAAATGCAACTAGCAAACAAAATTATAACAATTATTTGTAATAGGAGCTGGAGTAAACCATTCAGCCATCAAGGCTTCTCTGCCATTCAATAAACTTGTGACCAATCTGATGTGTTTTTAATTCTATTTTCCCGCGTGAACTCCATTATAGGTCAAAAATTGTGCGTATATTCAAACTCCATCCCTGCTTTAGGCTTCCTTATAAGGGAACCATCCTCTGAGTATCTCTCCCATCATGTTCCCTCTGAATAATACACTTGTAATTAAGATCACAGAATTATTGCAGTGTGGAAGGAGACAATTTGATTCACCATGTCTGCACTAAGTGTTCTAACTTAGTGCCAATCTCCTGTCTTTTCCACCATTGCACCATTGAAAGCACACGGTCCAGGTGCATTTTGGCCTGGCATGGCAACTGCTCTGCCCAGCACCATAAGAAACTACAGAAGGTTGTGTCCACAGCCCTGACCATCTTGGAAGCCAACCTTCCATCCATGGACTCCATTTACACGGCTCGTTACCACGGAACAGCTGCCAACATCATCAATGACCCATTGCACCCTGGTAATGCTCTCCTACAACCTCTTCCATCCAGCAGAAGATACAGAAGCTTGAACAGACGCACCAGCAGGTTCAGGAACAGCATCTTCCTGGCCGTTACTAGCCTGATGAATGGACTAGCAATATTAGCACTATTTGAAGTTAACGTTGATCTTGCCTGGCACACGCCCTGTGCGACATAACCTGTATGCCTCTGTCTGAGTTATTTTTTTCACCCTATGATCTGTATGTCCTTGCTTTCTCCAATCTGCCCGGACTGCTTGTAAACAAAGCTTTTCACTGTACTTAGGTACACACGACTAAATCAAATCAAATCAAATCAAGTAGCCCTGCACATTATGTAGAAATCATCTCATGTCCTCTTGAATGCCTCACTTCCACTTGATTTCATCACACTTCCAAACTGTGCATTCAATGCCTTAACTACTTGTTAAATGAAAAAATGTTTTTCTCACTGGCTTCTTTTACAACACCCTTAATCTGTGCTCTCTGCTTCTCGGTCTTTTTTACAAGTAGGAACAGTTGCTCCATATCCACTGAGTTCAGACCACTCATGATTTTGAAAGCTTCCATTAAAACTCCTCTAAGTTTTCTGTCCAAGTAAAACAGCCCCAACTTATCGAATCTTTTCTCATAACTGAAGTGTCTCATCCCTGGAATGATTTGTTTTGCACTCAATCCAGTTCATCCTTCCTGTAGTGTGGTGCCCAGCACTGTATACAGTACTCTAGCTGAGGTCTAGCCAATTTATTACAGGATTCTTCATAACTTCCCTACTCTTGTACTTTATGCCCCAATTAGTTAACACTAGAAAAAGTTATACTTTATTAACAGCTTTCTCTACCTGCCCTGCCACCTTTAATGATGTGTTCAAAAACATTCAGTCTTTCTTCTCTTGCGCATCCTGAAGTATATCCTTTAGTTTATACTGTTTCTGTTTTTTTGTATCAAAGTGCTTCGCCTCACATTACTTTGTATTGAACTTCATCTGCCACCTAGCTGACCACTCAAGCAATATATTGATGTCTTTTTGAAGTTCTAGACCGACCTCAGTGTTTACAATTCACCTGTCTTGTGTTTTCCACAATCTTAAATTGTCCCCTATGTGCTAAGATCTCAATCATTTATATGTATCAGGAAAAGCAAGCATTTTAATACCAACTTGTGAAGAGGTCCAGTGCAAACTTTCTTCCAGCTCAAAAAAAAATTATTCATTAATTTCTACTCCCTACCTCTCACCTAATTTTGTTACCAGGTGTTACTGTCCCTTATATTCAATGGCGTGTAATTTTCCTCAAGTCTGTTGTGTGGATCTGTATCAATTGCTTTTTGGAAGTCCACATACCCTACATCAGCAGCATTCCCCTCATCAATCTTTTCTGTTAACTCTTCAAAAACTTCAAGTTAAACGTGATTTTCCCTGAATAAGTCCATGCTAACTCTTCAGAATCAATCCACATATTTCCATGTGACTATTAATTCTATTCTGAATAATAGTTTCTGTGGTTTCTCCACTATCAAATGAAATTGACTGCTCCATAATTTCTGGGTCGATATTTGGAATCTTTTTTGAAGTCTCCATCCTATACCACCACCAATGAATCCAGGGAGGAGTGAAAGATTCTTTGCAGTGTCTCTGCAATTTCCACTCTTACTTTCTTTAATATTCTTGGATGCATCTCATGAATGGAACAGAGAGAGCAGCACATAGGTGCAGTAGGCAATCTGGTAGGCGAATGGATTGTTAGCCCTTATTTCAAGGGAATTGGAATATAAAAGTAGTGAAATCTTACTGCAACTGTACGAGGTGCTGGTAAGACCACATTTGGAGTACTGTGAGCAGTTTGATCCCTTATTTGAGAAAAGATATTGTTTCATTGAAGGCAGTTCAGAAAAGGTTCACAAGGCTGATCCCTGGAATGGAAGGATTATTTTATGAGCAAAGGCTAAACAGGTTGAGACTCTATTCATTGAAGTTTGGAGGATTGAGAGGTGAACTCATTGAAATATAGGATTCTGAAAGTGCTTGACAGGATAAATACTGAGAGGATGTTTCCCCTCATGGGAGACTCTATGACCAGAGTGTATTGTCTCTGAATAGACAGACACCAAATTAAGACTGAAATGAGGAATTTCTTCTCTCAGAGGTTGAGAGTCTTTGGAGCTTCTTGCCACAGACAGCTGTGGGGGCAAAGTCCTTACGTGTATTTAAGACTGAGATAGATAGTTTTTTGATCAGTAGGGGAATCAAGGGTTATGGAGAAAGGGCAGAAAGGGACATGAGGAATGTCGGATCAGCCATGGTCCTATTGAATGGTGGAGCAGGCTCAAGGGGCTGAATATCTATGCCTGTTCCTACTTCTTATGATTTTATAACTTTTAGGTATCGACAAATTATTCAACACCACATCCTTATCGATTCTAAACACATTGAGTTTCCTCCACTGTCATATTGGCCTCAGCAGCATCTGCCTTGTAGGTAAAGACAAATACGGAGTATTCATTTAACTCCTCATAGCTGATGTGCCCAGGCAGGTTAGGATTGTAGGAGTTGCACTATCTGTATTATCACAAAATTTCTCCATTAACTAACTGAAACTGATTTAAACCCCTCAATGTACAAATGAACCCAGATCCATCTGTACCACAGCATTCTGCAGTCTCTCCATTTAAATAATATTCTGTTTCCTCCTTTTCCAGCCTATCACCGACTATAATAGCATAGAACCAGCAAGATAAATTCAGCCAACTGTTAGATGTCTTTTTTTGAAAGCAAATCAAGCTACAAAAAGAAAATAAATCCATCACCAGACCCAAAATGTTAACTCTGATTTTTTTCTTCACAGATGCTGCCTGACCTGCTGAGCTTTTCCAGCAACTTCTGTTTTTGTTCCTGATTTACAGCATCTACAGTTCTTTTGGTTTTCATTTGGTCAAAATTAAATCCATATTCTTCCAAGTATTTTACTAATTGCTGCTTACAGATAGTTCTGCTATAATGCATGTTTCATTAATGCAAATTGGCTATAACGCAATTGATGAAGAGTGGATGCTGTTTGGATAACACAAACTTTCTGCTGTACAGATATAGCGATTTCCCTAAAACGTGATTTTCTATAGTGCGAGGTCACACAAGAACACAACTATCATGTTATAGGAGAACTACTTGTATTAGCCAAGTAATCTGGACCAAGCCACTGATTTGAATCCAAGATCCTATTTGCATACAGTGCAGGTCTATGCTATTGGAGAAGCTATGTCATATTTTAACAGATAATTCATTTTGTTCCAGTTTGTTGCAAAACAAGTTGCCAAAAATGGTAAAAAAAAATCTTTTTATCCCAATCTTCTATTCCCTGAAAGCAGTGACATATTTTGTACATACAGTACAATGGCACTGCAGCCATTTACTCATTTGATCCAAGGGGTCATTCATGAGCATAGATGTCAGGTGTCTGGAAGATATTTAGAATCATAGAATCCTGATAGTGAGGAAAGAAACCATTTAGCCCATCAAATCTGCACCAACCCTCTGAAGAGTATCCCATCCAGACCTAATCCCCAACCATATCCCTGTAACCATGCATTTCCCATGACTAATCTAACTAGCCTGCACATCCCTGGACACTATGGGCAATTTAGCACAGCTAATCCACCTAACCTGCACATCTTCAGACTGTGGGAGGAAATTGGAGTACCCAGACGAAGCCCATACAGATATGGGGAGAATGTGCAAACTCCACACGGACAGTTCATCATCATAGATCATCATAGGATCCCTACACTGTGGAAACAGGCCCTCTGGCCCAACAAATCCACACCGACCCTTGGAGCACCCATCCAGATGCATGGCATATAACCCACCCAATCTACACATCCCTGAACACTACGGGCAATTTAGCACGGCCAATCCACCTAGCCTGCACATCTTGGGACTGTGGAGGAAACCGGAGCATCTGGAGGAAACCCATGCAGACAAAGGGAGAATGTGCAAACTCCACACAGACAGTTGCCCAAGAATGGAATCGAACCCGGGTCTCTGGTGTTGCAAGACACGTAAAACTTGAAGGCTTTTGTGGTTTAAATTTTTTTTAAACATTTTGACTTTGTTTTTATACTTTGTTATGTTAGTGTTTCATATACCAGCTATTGTTCTATACAAACTTGAACAAATTCCTGAAAATAATCTTTATGCAAACTTTCTAACTAAATTACAGTTTGGTTGTGCATTTGACACACGTTATTGATTTGACTTGCAATCAACTATCAAGTTTTCTGTCAATAAACCCAAAGGGAGGTCTCTTGAGATGAAAAAAATGGTGTACGGATATTTTTCCCAAATGCAAGTTTGAAATTATGGGTTATGAATACTTTCAGTGTGGCATTACTGTTGTTTTTGTAACTTATACGTCTGGATTAGTAAAGTTCCAAATAAATATAAACAATTTCAAGATTTGAACACCAGGCTACTGTGCTGAAATCGTTGTTCTATTATTATCCATTCTATCAGGAGACTCCACTTTGTCCTGGAAAATCAATAAAGTGGAGA